GCCTGGCATAGCGAAAAGTTCCGACGAACTATCCACGATTGGATAGTTGCGAGTTGAAAACGTAGATACAGTTTGTCGCAAAAGTATCGGTACGTGTATTTTACGAAAGATTGTATATGAATGAAAAAAAGGAGCTAGATTTCCACGATAACCGTGTAACTTTTTAATAAGATTAACTATACCATCTGAAAACGGAATAGAAATATTTTATTGTTAAAGGATCGAGTTTAAAAGTTTGCCAATTATTATAAGAATAAATAATTGACAAAAGATTATTATTACTTAAGAAGTAATAAGTAGCGAAAAGAAGTAAAAAAAATATAGAATGAAATTTTTTGATTTGAAAAATGGTTTTAAAAATTCGAAATAAATTATGTTAATGATTACTAAATAAAGTAAGAAAAAAATACATTAATGATAACTCGAAAAAACAAGTTTTTGAACTTAGAATTCATTTTTAAAGTGAAGTCAAAACATTATACATTAAAAAGTGCTAAAAGTCTTTATAATTTTAAAATTTTTTAAAATTACACGAATTAGTTTTAACCTAAAACACTTTGGAATGACTCTACGTTACCAAACGATAAGATAGTCTCAATTATTACTCTGCCATTTTTCCATAATAATTCAATGCATTTGTACACAAATATTTTTATTTTAAACCATTCTCGAGAGATATCTTTTTTTACACGTTCACTCTACGCATTAGTCAAGCTTTTCATTCGTTACAGGAAATTCAGACGCATGTGTTTCCGTTGTTAAATTTTCTATACATTTCCAGCGAAAGAATAATCGTGTTGGTTAAATAATTAAATTTTAAAAACTTTGTTTTAATTTTTAATCTAAAATCTATAGTTTTAGCGTTAAAAAATAATTTATAAAAATAAAGGAAAAAAAAAAAATCTTCGTAACATTTTCGTATTATACGATACTCTACGATACGAACAATATGAATATTAAAACAACTACCTAGTTTCTAAATCTATATTTTTACTATTAAATTAATTCAATATTTAAACAATATTTTTTTCATTAAATATATATACAAATTAGAAAACCAAGGAAAATTTGCATAACACCTTCGTATTATACGATACTATAAATGGTCAAAAATCCTCGTCGTAAAATAAATCGTAAAATAACTCGATCGTGTACTGTGAAAACATGAAAAAAAGTAAAAATTGATTTCAAAAACAAAAATTCAAGCGATAATGATGAAAATGAAAAGTGGCAACGATCAATAAACGGGTCCAGGTCATAATTTATCACCAACCATACAGAACTAGACATCCCGTTTTTTAATGATGTTAGTTGGAAAGTCGATAGACACAGCTGGTATACCGGTACCGACATTTCGAAATGCGTGTCACCTTTTTGCGTGATCGAGAAAACGGTACTCGGCTTGACGAGCGACTCGAACACTCTAATTTTTCCACCGCTTTTTTCTTTCTTCTTGATTCTAATGTGCACACGACGATCAGACTTTTCTATTTCACGCTACATCTAAATTAACACCGCACTACTTTGCTTTGATTGATTTTTCGATATGGAATATTTTTTAATATGTAACAGAAAAAAAAAAATTGATTGATCAATTTGTGGCACGAACTGATTCGATTAAATTTGCTAAAGTGTAATTTGAATTTTAAGAAGAGGTAATGTAATTGTCGAAAAATTTGTAGATAGATTTCTTTTACTTATTTTTTTTTTTTTAAGAAAATAAAATTTGCTGGATAATTGTAATTAATATATTGCAAAATTTAATAATTTAATGGTTTCAAATCATGTCATTCCATTTTTTTTTTTAAATTAAACATAAAATTATTACGATATCGTAGATTTTCTGATTAATCATTGTTTTTGCATCTTTTCAATGCTGTTCGAATAATGCACGAACATACAATTTTCCACATGCTTCGTTATTAAATTTACGTAAGAAACTTAATCACTTTTGATAACTTGCATGCAAATAAAGTTAATAATTAATATAATATTAAATATAAAAATGTGATATATATATATTAATTTATAATTCCAAATGGAATTCAGGTAACATTCGATATCAACAATCCCTGAATATTGGGTATTCGATATTCACGTCTTGATATTCAATGTTAACAACTTTCAACTCGGTGGTATTCGATAGTAACAATATTTCAACCACGATAAACATTCAGAAAATATTCTTAAATCATTCTATCGCGTGTAAACAAATTACGATTTTTAATCATACGACTTTTAATTTAGATGCAACTATTGTGAAAATTAATTCAACCTTCGAGTTCCATAATAATATCCTCTTCCTCCGTGAGATTCCGATGTTTCTATTCGGTGAAAAGTACTGTTACTTGAAAAAAAAAAAAAAAAAAAAAAAAAGTAAAAAAAATTGTTCGACTTCACTGCCTCTCATAATTATTCATAAAAGAGTACAACGCTGAAACGATTCTTTCAATTTCAATAATTATTCCGAACATTAATTCTCTTAAAGCATCTATTATTATAATTTAATTTTATTCCAATCTCGTGGAATAATTTTAAAAATTTTAAAATTAATTAATCATTGTTAGGATCAAAGGAACAAAATTGAATTAATTAAAATCAAAATTTGTGACAGTTCATTAATTGAATGAAAAATTACAAATTATATATTGCGATTCGATGTGTGATTACATTAAATATATCAAAATTGATTAGGTTATACATACATAGTTTATACAAGGATTAATTGGATTAATAAATTTTAATCAAACTGTAATTAATTTTCCAACATAATTACGTTACGTTTTATTTTCGTGAAATAGCGAGCATGTTTTCACTTGGAAAAAAAAAAAAAATACATTCTTTTCGCGATTATTATCTTCTGCCCAATTCAAGAGTCACGCTTCGATAGAGTAGTCCGATAAATATGACTGACAAACAGCGTTCGTTCATATACGAAGAATATTTTATTCTCTTTTTTTTTTAATCGACTCGCAATTAATTTTCGCACAACTTTGCTTATTAATTATATCAATTCACAACGGATGGATTTTAATTGCCGATAGATGTCATATAAAACAGTTTTTTGGAAAGAATTATGACAGATGGCGTTGAACGGAAGTCACGTGTTTTCGGCGGATTATTTGAAATTTCATTTCAATTTAACTTTATAATAAATGAAAGTTGTAACGAAATATTATCGAAATATATAAATGATAATATTAAATTATCCAATTATTAATCGTTATTTATTTGTTAATTCTATATAAAAATCTAAATAGAAAAAAGATTAAGAAAAATTTTTAATCTTTTAATTATCACGTTGTACGAGTATATCTCGATTTACACTATCTATTCATTTATACACAATTCTGAAATCATTAAGGAATTTTTAAGGTATTAAAATTGAACGAATACATTTTACTTCATCAATTTGGTAAAATTTTAGAAAGATCGTACCTCTTTCTGTTAAAACACAATGTAATAAAAACAGGAAAATAATGTTTTTTCATATTAATTCGAGCACGTATTCTCGCGATGGGATTGATAAGCGCAATTTCAACTAAGCGAAATACTTTGTTGCAATTAATTCAAATTGCTAGCCGCCAAAGTAAAGAAAGTGTGACAAGAACGTAATAGCCTCAAGCTTCATTAACGCTTAACAGTCGATGATTAAAATTCGTGGAAAGATTTGAAAAAAAGAAATTTTTCGAATCGTAGCAAAACTTGTGCATGATTAATTACACGTATTGAAAAATAACAATATTTCGATACTAAAATTCCAAAGCACGAGGTTTTTACGAAAGGTTTTTTTTCTTTTTCTCGCTACAAGCATTCACCTTGGCACACATTTCTCCCACACAGTTGCTCGTAGAAATTGCATCTAAATCACCACAACACGATAATACAAATTTCTATAAATCTAAGATAAATGTAAAATTTTATCAACTTGTATTTTACATTTTCAATTCAAAGAGAGAGGCATCAACCATCGTGAAAACAATAAAATAATTAAATATTGCAAAAGCAATTTCAAAAGTAACAAATCTGATCAATTAAATAATGATTCCAAGACAAATCCTAGACAAATATAATAATATATTCCATTTTCGCTTGATATTTATACAATATATGGGAAAATATAGGATCGTTTGGATTGGAAAATTTGAGGCACGATTCAATTGTTGCGCCTTATCACGGAACTGAAACCTTGAACGTGAAAGCTCGTGCGCATTCGAGCCGGAAGACAGGAAGCAAAAATCAGTTTTATCGTTCTCCCTCGCTCGCATTATCAGAAACGACTACGAAACGAACTCGTCAGTATCGCGAACGTTTCTGCGGAGGGATAAATCCAAGCAATTCTCCAAGTTAAATTCAAGTTTCTCCTTACAATTCTCCAAGAACCGAAGAAAGAAGATTAAACAATGCCTTCAAAAGAACTCGACGAGTGTTCGATTCTCGAGCAAATTTTCGTAAACCGACAAGCCAAGTGCTAGTTTCGAGAGAAACTTCTGATACGTCAATCTAATTTCGATTCCAAAGGATTCACCTAATTAAACAGGCATTTCCATCGAACGAGCGGAGAATGAAGAGCGGCGGTTACACCGCGTTCAACGCGTCCAATCGGAGGTGGATCAATCCCAATCTGTTCCTCCATTGTTTCGCCCTGCCCTGTTACCCGATCGACGAGGAGAACGAAAAGGGCGCGAGGATGGAGATGGAGGAGGACTCGTTGACCAGGAACGAGGAGGGGAATAATTGTGGAGGATCGTCGAGCCACGATGGGGCCAGTTCCTCCGTGACGATTCCTGAAACGATGGACGAGGAGATATTCTGGAAAAGCGTGAGGAGTTGGTCGACGGAGGAGCTGTTCCCCAAGGAGAGGAACGACTCGTCCGAGGATGGAAGAACAAGTTAATCGAAGCATAAATTTGTTATATTGTTTTTCCAAATAGTAGTTTCGAACGATCGTATTTGATTTCGTTTCTCTCCTCATTGATCTCGAACGACTTTTCTTGTAGATGACGGGAGCAGCTTGTCGGAGGCGTGCAGCACTCCGATCATCGGCGCTGGATCGCGAGCAGGCTCTAGCCACACGGTGATCGACGTGGATGACATGGATTCCGGGTTGCATTCTGGACACCTTGCCACGCGCGCATCCTTGTCCAGTCTTGGAGTAAGTAAATGGAGAATTTGTTATCTTAAAATATTGCAGTATCGTTGTATTCGATAAGTTCGTGCGTGTGATATTGGATTTTTTTTCCAGGCACGTTCAGATTCAATGGCGTCGGTTTATAGCGGTGCTGGGGAGGGGCGGTGCTGTCGCTCGGTGGTCGTCACAGGAGAAGTCGAATTCGCGTTGCAATACGATTATAAACATCTAACGTTCGAGGTGCACGTAACGAAGTGCAAAAATCTAGCACCCGTTGACGTGAAACGCAAACGTTCAGATCCGTAAGTAACGCATGACTCACTGGTATATAATGATCTATCGGATTGCTATATCTCTTTGAGACGAGAAATTTTTAAATTATGAGAAATTAAGAGTTGCAAATTATTTAAATGTTTAGTTACTTAAGGTGGAATATTAAATATTATGTAATTTGTTTTTGTTTCTAGTTATTTCTGGATTTGAAAATTATTCCATCATTCATCGCGTATTAAGAGTATTAAGATGCGTCAGATGTTAATCATATTTATAAATGATCTTTGAAGAGTGAATTCTAGAGGCAAAAAGTAAAGACAAAAGTTGGTGTGACAAAAATGTGATCTGAGGCTTGTTTGTTGAATGATAAGCGGTTTACGTTGGATGAAGCGAGACAGAGATGTGAAGTTCTATTCATTCTGTTTTATTCGTTTTAAATAATGTATTTTAATAAGTAAAGTCCCATTTTTCGTACACGCCAACTTTTGTGTTTGTTTCAGAAAAGTTGATTATATTGACATTATATTTATATGTTCTTTCCAATTTACTAATTGTTATCTTGCTTGCGAATAGTTATTGCCAATTTGTAGGAGCTTTCAACACGTTAGTACATTTCTTTCTTACGGATGTAAAAGTAGAATTATTTTAATTTATTACTATAACGTGATAGAATGAAATTTAAAAAAAAAAAAACTTGTAAAAGTTGAAAATTTCTTCAATTTTGTTGATGTTCCCTTGATGAGGATTAAGATTGCAACAACTGTATAACGAGATCAATATTTTTAATCCGTTATATACCTGGCTTCTGATTTGAAAGGAAAGATTTCTCATTTTTAATTAATAAAAATTTTAATCAAACAAAAACAATCAGATGAATACACAAAGGAATTACTATTGAAATATATAAAAATATAACAATTCACACACGTGTGAATTATCCAATATACCTCTAATATACAGTTAATGCATAAAGAAAATCAACAATTCTCTTTTCAATAAATTAACCGCAAACCATTCCTTCAGATACGTGAAAGTGTATTTATTACCTGACAAATCAAAGAGCGGGAAACGAAAGACGAAAGTGAAGAAGCACACGCTGAATCCTGAATTTAACGAGACATTGAAGGTAAGATTGATAAAGTTTCATTTTCTTTCAAATCTGGAGCACAAACAAATTCTTGCTTGCCCCTCCATTGTTTCCTGCATGAGAGTTAGAGCTTGGACGGTACGCAACCATATTTCAGTTCCATATGAGTCTGAGCGGCCTAGAGACAAGAACATTATGGCTGACTGTTTGGCATTCAGACATGTTTGGACGCAACGATTTCCTCGGCGAAGTTCGAATGCCCTTGGAGAACAAAATCTTCGATGATCCTACGCCCAAATGGTATCCTCTTCAAGAACGAGTAAGTTTATGAAATAGTTTGTTCATCGTTCTATATTTTTTTATAAATAAAGAATAAGATATACAGTGACTCGTACATCTATTCATATTTTTTTTCTTTTTTTACTATTTTTCTAATATGAATGAAAATAATATTACACATAGAAATATCTATATTTATTTGTAAGTTCAAGTAGAAGTAAGAGATGGGCATATCTTTTAAAATATAATATCTATGAGTCATTGTATGTTTATTATTAATGGAAGAGATACAAAAGATAAGAGGCATAAAAATATAATTCTTTTTAAATGGATCATTAATTTAGATTAACTTCAGTTTCCTTTTTAATCAGTTTTCTTGTTTCAAACTGTTACTATAATTTTTAATCATGTAATGGAAATTAATCTTCAAATAAACCTGGATAATCTCATTAGAGAATAATTAAGAATCTTGTAAGAGGTGAAGTAAGAGAAAAAATTGTTTTAATATTAATTCAAAAAATATATGTTTTCACAATAATTACTAGTTATATTCAATTGATATCTTTGTTTCAATTTTGGACAAATTTTTAAATTTTTAAATCTGCCTTCCTCTTATTGCAAAGTTATTACAAAATTTTACTACTATTCTATAAATATTCTCTCTTCTTAAAAATATTGTTAACATTGCAATTATTACACATGATCCATAATTAATCATTTGAGGATTAAAATTATTCTCGACTAATTTCTCTTAAGTTAAAAGTCATTGTAATGTTCTAATTTCACTATTATTTCAACCAACTGAATTTTGAATGTCTTTTTATCTCTTCCAGTTATTATTCAATGGTAAAAGATCGTTCTAGATATAAAAACGCGATGAGAATGGGCCGGAGAAAGTAAGTCTTCGTTATAGGTCTTGATTATTACCCAGTACGTAATTAGAAGCCTTCTTTTATTTGTTTTTATTTATCTTGATGAAATTAATTGACACACTTTGCAATAGGAAAGCAATATTGCACGACTTGTTACATTATCGAAGAAAAATTCAAGTTCAAAAAACAGCATGAACGAAGAGACTAATTTTATAGAAGATACACAATATTATATTGCGATTAGACCACATCTGATTGCATTACTTTTTGCAATGTATTCTGCATGCACAAGAATTAAAATTTTTAATAGAAACCTCTTGTTTTTTACCATTTTACATCATGTATAACCTTTTTTTTATCAAATAATTAATATTAAAATATGTATATTCACTTTTTTATAATTATTCTGTTCTTGAAAAGTAACAAAAATGCATATTTATTAAATCAGTTCTTATCAAGTGAGTAACATATACATAAATATATTTAAAATTATTTAAAAAATTTGTTTAAATTGCTCGTTTAATTATTATGATGATATATAAAATAATATTATCATACAACTAGTTTGGTATCCAAAAAATATAATTCTTTAATTTTATTCCTGATTCATATTTCTTCATATTTTGATTTGAAAAATCATCCCTTAAATTTCTAGACATTCTGTAAAAAAAATTAAAATATAGATAATTTTCTTTTCATTTCTAAAATGTATTAAAATTATAATATCTTGTACGAAAATTACTCTATATAATTTTAAAATATTTTTTGCCAATTTTTGAAATTAACGATTAACCGTGATTATAAATTTTAGACAGAACCGTTCGATGACCCTGTTGCATACAAAGGCGAGGTGATCGTCGGTTTGAAGTTCGTGCCACCGGATCCTACGCAACAGGAACGTGATCGAGAAGCAGGATCAGAACGTGGTACCTCCAAGTCTAAGAAGAATATGAGCCGTGGCGCGTTACACGTGCTCGTAAAGGAAGCTAGAAATTTGCAAACCAGGGCGAAGAATTCAGGAACGTGTGATCCATTCTGTAAAAGGTATCATTTATTAACACTTGTATTGTTTTCTTCCTATTGTTAACAATAAGGAGAGACATTAAAAAATCATAAATTTTTAAATCTTTTTTCTTTCTTCTAGAAATTATTAATTCTCTGTAATTTGACTTTGAATAAATTTGCACTTTTGTGATCTGCTATTTTATTTCTGATATAAATGATTCTTTATGGTCAACAAGATACTCAGTTTACCATATCTTTATTATTTATTATTATCTAATCATAATTGAAATAAGAAAAAAGATAGGTTTTTACAAATCAAATTTGTATTATTTTTAGTTATTTATTACCTGACAAAGGTCGTTCAGGAAAACAAAAGACTGGAGTAGTTCGCAGATCTGGTGGTTCACCAGTATGGGGTCATACTTTCATTTATAAAGATGTGAGTCTTCAAGAATTAGCAGAACGTGGACTGGAATTAACAGTCTGGGATCACGATCGTATCGCCAGCAACGAATTTTTAGGAGGTGTTCGATTTAATCTTGGCACAGGTATGTAAATTATTTATATAATTTATTATATTTTTCATCTTTCTAAGTAGCATTTAACATTTTGTTTAAAATAGTGAAAATTTGTATATTTGTAACTAACAAATACAAAAATTCAAACTCCTAAAAACCATATTTAAAATAATTAAAATAATAAAATCTGTGATCCAACTTGTTAAAAAATAATATCAAATTTTTTTTAAGTCAAAATAATATTTTACTTTGTACTTACTATATATAACACAGAATATAAAAAATTGTCCAGTTTAAATTATTAAACAAATGGATTACGTGATTTTTATGATTAATTATAATTTTTGCAGGAAAACACTATGGAAAACCAGTAGATTGGATGGACGCAACCGGTCGAGAATTATCCCTTTGGCAAAGCATGCTTGAGAGGCCTAATTTCTGGGTGGAGGGTGCCGTGACTTTGAGGCCAAATTTGCATAATCATGGGAAAAATAGCAGCACCTAATCATTAAGCATCGTCTCAGTGATTTCTTTTGTACTTAACTTGTGACACAGTCGAGTGTTCACAGTGTGGACCTTGTTAGTTCCATCTCAACGGAGCTCGTTACGCTTCGGCCTAGTTTAACTTAAAACGCAAATACGTATTATGTGTCAATATAAACGGACCACATTCGTCGAATAATTTCGAAATGCAACTTTCGAAAAAAAAAAAAAAAAAAATAATCAGTGCCTTTGGGGCCGATGTAAACACATTGTCCATCTCCACAGGGCACAGTCTATCATTTAGACTCTAAATTCTCAAGAATGTAATAGAAAGTGGTCGTTGTGAGATATTAACTTCTAGAAAAGTAACCAAGAAATCAAATCTTGGTCGTGAAAATTAGTATTACCTTATTTACCAGGTCCAGTTACTTTGTAAATGATCATAGCCGATATAATTAGAATTTTTAATCTGTAGCTTCCGTTTGCTTCCGAGATAAGTTTACTTTGTAGGTATTTTGTTTGCAATTTCTTTTTTTTTTTTCTTTTTCTGCTGTATGAAAAATCGTACTATATATGATTTTTTTTCAAGTGAATTTCTTTTTAGTTTCTTTTTTTGGTTATATTTTCTCGTTTTCTTTTGTTTTTCCTTCATTAATTTCCTTTTCTTTCATCGTATATATATATATATATTATATATATTATTACAGAGCAAAGAAAATCCTAGCCAGATGATCAATGGAACATCAATATGGACACGCAAAATTCGTGCAATATACCGTAAAAAGTCGTCTGATTCTTCTCGTTGATTATACAATTTTTAAATGATAAAGAAAGAAAAATTTTTAAAACGGACATCCGTCCAATCATCAAGGCGAGATGACTATTGAACATCATGCATGAAAATTCTTCGTGGCCAATCGTATTATTATAATTTTAATAGACACCGCCTCGTTCCAAACGTACACATTTTTTGGGAAACGTTCGTCGATCGCAGCAATAAGATATTGTTATTAAAATCCTTCCAGTGAAAGAAAAGAAAAAACATAAAACGATATATATATATGTATGTATACATTATATACTATATTTTACGAAGTAAATTTTACTTTATATTAATCCAAGGACAAAAGGCGTTTGGAACGTGGCTTGCATTGTGGACACTTTCCTTTCTTGGAGAGAAAGATGCTTCTAGTGTGTACAATACTCGATTTCTCGCGCTGAGTTGCCACAGACCGATGGAACGGTGTATTTAAGCAATTAAATATGACCGATTCCTATTAAATATATTCATATAAATATTATATTTATACATTCACAGTAAGATTATACAATATAAGATAGGCCATGGGACTTTGGATCATTATCAACGGAAGGAATTCTTAACAAAAAAAAAAAANAAAAAAAAAGAAAAAGAAAAAAAAGTAAAAAAGTAAAAAAATAA